CAGTGCATGCCCAGGCCGACGGTGGGGGAGGTGAGACACGGGAACACCATCGTGAGGAGGGCAAAACAGTTCTCGAACCTGTCCTGGAAGATTAAACCGATTCCGATCGAACGTCTCCGGGTCATCATGCACGCCGACGCCTCGAACCAGAACGCCTCGAAATCCGGGACCCAGGCAGGTTACGTCATCGCTGCGACCGACGAGAACATGATCCGAAACGAGTTGAGCCCCTGGAGCCCGCTGGTCTGGAAAAGCTATCGTCTTCGTCGAGTTACTTCGTCGACTCTCGCCGCGGAGACTCAGGCCCAGATGGACGGCCTAGGTCACCTCGAGTGGATCTCCTGCCTGCTCCTCGAGGGCAGCGATGGAAGATTCTGCCTGCGTCGTCGATCTGAGTGTCTTCCGAAGTTGGCTCCCATTGCGGTCACGGACTGCAAGTCACTGTACGATCACATCGTCGGCTGTGGGAGTGCGGGGTCATGTTCGGACAAGCGGGTGGCGGTCGATCTAGTCATCACTAAGGAGAGCGTGAAACGTCTAGGTGTGAGCTATCGGTGGGTACCATCAGCCCTTCAGCTAGCAGATATATTGACTAAAGACAAAGCCGAGCCAGCAGATATGTTGAGAGCCACAATGACAAGCGGGAAATATCAGTTAGCCGACGAGCCAGCCGTTATGGCAGCAGCAGCCCAAGAGCGTGTCCGTCGTCAGCTTCTTTCGGCTGGTAACAGGAAGGATCGTCCCAGCCGCCAGCCGACGCCACCGGCGCCCGGCCATGGTCAAGTTCGAGAGCTGCCTGACGGAGGACGGAGTCAGGAGCCTGTTCGAGAGCATACAGGCGGAGCCAGTCCGCCACTCGGGGACGACGTGCAAGGTCGTGACCAACATGCAGATCCTGGGAGATCCAGACAGCCGCCAGTACCGCAATCGTGTGACGCTGACGTGGAGCAAGGGGACAGGCAACATCGCCATCAGGACGGCGGCCATCATCGAGGACTCGGCGCTGTTGTACATGCAGCACCTGGACAGCGCCTACCTCGCAGTGCTGGACGGCAAGGACCCGGAAGTGCTCGAGGGCATGGAGTCGGTCATGGAAAGCCTACGGGTACCGGCGCAGCACTCATACGAGGGCGGGCCAGGACAGTCAGATTCGGACACGTGGAGCGTCATTTCTACGAAGCTCCCCGAGGACAGGGAGTTCGTGCAGGCAATCGAGAACCTGTGCGAGTGGGGGAACCAGGAGCTGGCGGACTACGAAGACCAGCGCCTGAAGTTCATCAAGATGATGATACGTGAGTTTAAGGCGTCCCGTGACTTTCTCCTCACGACGGTTGACGAGGGTATGGAGGACGGGGAGGCCGAGCAGCCGACGCCGACCGCCGCCACTCCCTCCTCGTCTCCTCCGAGGTCGAGGACCCGGGTGCCGTGAGTGTGAGAGTCCTGCGTTTAGGGTGTGCAGCCTCAATGACGCACAATTTTTGTTTTTAGTCAGTGCTGATCTCAGGGCCTCGGGGAGGCCCCTGGTGTGTATGTTACTGTCGTGCATGTGCGTGTTGATGCTGCAGCATTTTGGCTTGCCACAGGTGTGGAAAAGAGGGAGCGGGCGCTCCCTCCTCGGAGCCCAATCTGCACATAGGGAGCTGCACCGAAGGCCCCAGTGGCGGTGTCCGCATGCGGTTCCCCCACCCAGTACAGCGTCTCGTGGCCTCATATGGAGCTCCGCCGAAGGCCTCAATTGCGGCCCCGCCCCACTCGGCGCACCCCTTACACGTTTCGCGGCCCCACACTAGTTTCCGCGGAAAGCCCCAGTGGCAGCGCCCACATTGCGGCCCCGCCCCACATCGGCACACCCTTCGCATGCTTCATGGCACCCCATGATGAGGCCCCCCGCAGGCGATACCCGCAACGACGGCACTCACAACTGCATATGATTGGGTCCTTCGCCCGTATAAGCTTAATACGTGTTCTGTGTTCGCCTTTTCGAGCTTCCGACGCTCCAAGACGGCCCACGAGGCCCCCAACATTCCCCCGGGACGACTGCCCAAGAGGGCCCCAAGACGTCCCCGAGAAGCGCCCAAGAGTGGGAACACGAAACGCGCATACTTCTCGAGTAGCTGCCACCCAGAATGCTGCGCTGGCACGGTGGCGGAATCGCTGGAGGCAACTGGATACAACATGCTCGCGGGGGCCCGGCTCACGATTAAGATTTTGCCGCCGCGTGCACGCGTTGGGTCGCCCCTCGTGGTTCTTGATTGAGGGCTGGTAGAATGGGGGAGGGGGTGTGAATGTATCAGATGTGCGCCGTCAGAAGCCGCTGAAAAAAAAAAATGCAGTGCGACCACCCCGCAGCCACTTCGCAATGATTTTCCAAACGACAGGGTCAACACACTGCCTCATGTGTACTGCCACGTGCACTAGCGCACCTGGCCCATTATGTGTGGGTCGCGCACCTGGTGCGGCTGGAACAAATGGCGCACTTGGCGCATGTGCCGTGTCCGGACACTAGGCGCGCCGGCACGCTTGGGCCCATGGGGCACCTGACACGCGTGGCGCACCTCGCGAGCGTTGCACGCCTGGCGAGTATACTGGTTTCTAAGTGATGTCCATCTGGTGGTGTCCTCTGTCTAGGCTGAGTCTCTGGTGCTACCTGTATTGCTGGAGGCGGGTGAGAGAAAAAGAGAGAGAGACAGAGAGCGAGACAACTTGTGGCAATCCCGTTAGAAACTCCCTGGCGTCGACACGAGGATGAGCCTCGACGTCTGTCCCCCTCTCCTTCCCCTCCTCCTCCTCCTCCTCCTCCTCCTCCTCCTTCTCCTCCTCTTGCTCCTCCTCCTCCTCCTCCTCGTCCTCCTCCTCTTCCTCGTCATCCTCCTCCTTCTCCTCCTCCTTCTCCTCCTCCTCTTCCTGGAACCCACAATCCCAAAGCCCAAAGTCATTGTTAATCATCAACTCGGCCCCGACGCTTTGTTCGTCAAGACGGAGGGAGGCCGTCACGGGGGCTCGTCACCCCAGAGGGAGGCCGTCATGTGGTCTCGTCAATGAGGTTCGTCAACTCGGAAGGAGGCCGTCAGGGGTGTTCGCCAACTCGGAGGGAGGCCGTCAAGGCGGTTCGCCAACTCGGAAGGAGGCCGTCAAGGGGGCTCGTCAACTCGGAGAGTTGACGGCCAACTCCTCACTAAGAGAGACTTGACGCCGAACTCCTTCCACTCACAAAGCTCAAGCGCCGGATAGTGTGCGTGGCCACCCGTCTTGACGCCCAGGCCCCCCTCCAGACCAGCCGCCCGCGAGAGATTCGGTGCGGAGGGTTGTTTTGAAGAAGCGCTCCAAAAATCAGACAGAGAGGGAGGTTCCCCGAGCCGTAGGCCACCCGAGGAGGAGGAGGAGGTGGAGGAGGTGGAGGGGGAGGAAGAGGAGGAGATGGAGGAGATGGAGGAGGAGGAGGAGGAGGAGGAGGAGAGGAGGAGGAGGAGGAGGAGGAGGAGGAGGAGGAGGGGTCGCCCAAGCCCTTCGGAGAAACTTTCCACTCAGGAGGGGATGGCTGGACTGCCGCACCCAACTGCCCAGTCCTGGTCCCCCGTGTGGACAAGGGTTAGGTCGGGCATGTCCCCCTACAGGCGGATGTTGGACAAAAAATAAAGCATAGTCAACAAATACTCAAGGATGCTCAAACATACTCAGTAAATCGTCCCCAGAGTATTTTTTACTGTGGAGGGACATGCCCGACTTAAAACAAGGGGGGCAAGGGTCGAGGGCGCGCAAACATGGATTGGCCATCCATGTATTGGGCGCGCGGTCGCCAAATCGATGGATCGATGGGAAGAGGTGCCCTCCCCAAAATGCGGCCGGCGCCCTCTCACTCGGCGGCGGGAATCCGCGATTGCCCATGGAAGCGGGACCCGTCGCTGATCCACGCCCCCTTGATCCATGTTTGCGATCGCCTGGAAAGGGGGTGTCCTCCCTGTGATCTCAAGACCCCCCCTCCGCCTCCTCCCCTGTGGACAAGGGGGCCGCCCCCCCGCCCCTCCTCACGGAGCCCTTCCCCCCCTGGGACTGGGAGGCGCCCTCCTCACCCTTCTTGAAGGGGCCCTGGGACACACAAACAAATATACACAAATGACAGGATTCCCCATATTTCATGGTTTTTGTCTTCCACCTCACTTCCCATGTTTTCCTTTTTTCTTTAGGGGATCGACGATTAATTGTGTCTGTGTTTTTTCCCTCCTGACTTATGTTCTGTTGCGGGCGGGGTGCTGCGCATTTTCCTACATGCCCCCAGAAGGCCTCAGATCCGCTCCGAGGCGGCCCTAAGTGACCACGGAGCTTCCCAATAAGTCCCCTGAGAGACCCCCCAACAGAGCCCAAGAGGCTCCCAAGAGTCCCAAGAAGGGCTCCAGAGCGTCAGCTTCGTCGTCAACGTCGTCGTCGTCGTCGTCGTCGTCGTCGCCCCCTTTCAAGGTCGGCGGCACCGGCAATAAGGCCTTCGCAATAGCCCTCCAAACCCGGCCATTGAGTCCCTAGAACTGAGCTTCAGAGGTCCCGGAATTGCTTGTGGGCCCTCCTGGAAGGTCAGGCCCCTCCTCCTTCTCCTGCTCCTCCTACTCCTCCTCCTCCCTCCTCCCTCCTCCTCCTCCTCCTCCTTCTCCTCCTTCTCCTCCTTCTCCTCCCTCCTCCCTCCTCCTTCCCCCCCTTCCCCTCCCTCCTTCCTCCCTCCTTTCCCTCCTTTCTTCTTCCTCCTTCCTCCTTCCTCATCCCGCCTCTCGCCTTCCTCCTCCCTCCTCCCTCATCCCTCCTCCTCATACCTCCTCCCTCCCTCCTTCCTCCCCCTTCCTTCCACCTTCCTCCTCCCTCCTCCCTCCCTCCTTGCTCCCTCCTTCCTCCTCCCTCCCTCCTCCTCCCACCTCCCTCCTCCCTCCTTCCTCGTTCCTCCTCCCTCCTCCCTCCTCCCTCCCTCCTCCTCCCTCCCCCCCTGGCTGCCCGCTAGGCGGGCGGGGGACGGGGGCCCGTCTGGAGCAGGTAGTCGAGCAGAGGCTGCCGGAGGGAGCCGTCGCACCTCCCACCCAATCATCTCGACGAGAAGCAAAGAAGCGGAACAAATCTCAAACAAAAACATAAACATACACACATATACATGTATAGATATGCATACCTACCTACATGCATACAAACAACCAGACAAACAACTATACGTCCATACATGCATACATACCTATATACATGCATACGAACGTATATACATTCATACACACATGCATACATACATGCATCCATGCATCCATGCATGCATGCGTACACTCATACATGCATACATGCGTGCATGCATACATACGCACATCCATACACACATGCATGCACTCACACATACATGTATACACACGTATACACATGCATGCATGCGTGCATGCGTACATACATTCACACAGACACACAGACACACATGCATACACACATACATACCTACACACATGCATACATCCATCAACGCACACATGCATGTATATGCATACATGCATACATGCATGCGCATGCATACCTACACACCTACCTACACGCATACATACAGACATGCCTACATACAAACATACGTACATGCATACATGCGTACATGCATACATACAGGCATGCATATCTACATACACACATACATGCATACACACGTATATACATACGTACATACATACATACACACATCTATATTCATACATACATACATGCATGCATGCATGCGTGCATCAATACATACATATATACATATGTTCACACATGCATGCATGCACAACCACACATCCGTGCACACCTACATACATATATACACACCTAAATGCATACATACATACATACTTACATACATACATGCATACATACATGCACACACATACATGCGTCTATACATACACACTTGTATACATGCATCCACCGACCTTCCGACCTACCTACCTACATTCCTGCCTACCTACATATATACATGCATACACATGCATACATATTTACATATCCACCGGCCCCCTTGTGGGGCCAGTAGGCTGCGAGGGTGAGGGTTGCAGTGCCCTGCACCAGCTCCAGTCTCCAATGTTACAGTCCTGCTTTCTGCTTCCTGCTGTATATTGTTGAAGTCCGCGCGAGGGGGGGCGAAGGGGGCCCGGTTACCACCTCCGAATCGCGTTGTCTGAATTCCTGCGGGGCCGTGGGACACGTACAAATACTTGACAATCGCGCTCCCAAGGCAATGCTCACTCGCAGGGTAAATGTGCTGTATTTGAGCCCCCGAGGCCAAGACGCCTCGTAAGTTTCACCACGTTGGCGTCCCTGAAGCCACTATCCATACCAAGTGACACGTTTGCCATGGTTCTTGCACAAAAAGGAAGGGGAAGGATCGGAGGGGTGTGCCGTGCCGAACCGCAGGGGTCGGGGCGGAGGGGCGCGCTGGCTTGTGAGTGGGTGGGTGCGTAATAAAAAAAGGGTCGGGGCGGAGGGGCGCGCTGGCTGGTGGGTGGGGGGATGCGGAGGGCGCGCGGGGAGGGAGTGGGGACGTGCCGACACAAAGGGGTCGCGGGGCGGAGGGGGCGCGCTGGCTGGTAAGTCGGAAGGTGGGTGGGGGGGGGGGCGTGCCGTGCCGAAATAAAAGGTCGGGGCGGAGGGCGCGCTGGCTGGGGGGGGGATGCGGAGGCGGTGTGCCGTGCCGAAATAAAGGTCGGGGCGGAGGGGTGTGCCGTGCCGAAATTAAGGGGTCGGGGCGGAGGGGCGCGCTGGCTGCGGAGGGAGGGGGGGCGGAGTGCCGTGCCGAAATAAAATGGCCCGTGCCGTGAAATAAAGAAGGAGGGGCGGTGTGCCGTGCGAAATGGAGGGATCGAGGCGGAAAGGCGCGCTGGCTGGTGGGTGGGTGGGGGGGATGCGGAAGGGGTGTGCCGTGCCGAAAAAAATCAGGGTGGAGGGGTGTGTCGCGCCGAAATAAAAAAAGAGTCGGGGTGGAGGGGGCGCGCGGGGGGGCGGGGGTGCCGTGCCGAAATAAAGGGTCGGGGCGGAGCGGGTGCGCTGGCTGGTGGGTGGGGGGATGCAGAGGGGGGGCGTGCCGAAATAAAAGGGTCGGGGCGAGGGGGCGCGCTGGCTGGTGGTTCGGGGGATGCGGAGGGGGTGTGCCGTGCCGAAATAAAGAGGGGTCGGGGCGGAGGGGTGTGCCGTGCCGAAATGAAAAAAAAAGGTCGGGGCGGAGGGGCGCGCTGGCTGGTGGGTGGGTGGGGGATGTGGAGGGGGTGTGCCGTGCAGAAATGAAGACTTTGGGGTAGAGGTGTGCCGTGCCGAAATCAAGGGGTCGGGGCGGATGGCGCGCTGGCTGGTGGGTGGGGGGGGGGATGCGGATGGGGAGTGCCGTGCCGAAATGGAAGGGTCGGGGCGGAGGGGCGCGCTGGCTGGTGGGTGGCGGGGGTGCGGAGGGGGTGTGCCGTGCCGAACTAAAAAGGGGGTCGGGGCGGAGGGGTGCGCTGGCTGGTGGGTAGGAGGGATGCGGTGTGTGTGTGTGTGTGTGCCGTGCCGGAATAAAAGGGTCGGGGCGGAAGGGTGTGCCGCGCCGATATAAAAATGGGGGTCGGGGCGGAAAAGCGCGCTGGCTGGTGGGTGGGGGGGATGCGGAGGGGGTCTGTAAGGTGTGTGCCGTGCCGAAATAAAGGGGTCGGGGCGGAGGGGTGTGCCGTGCCGAAATACAAGGGGTCTGGGCGGAGTGGCGCGCTGGCTGGTGGAATGTCTGGGCGATGGGGGGGGTGCCGTGCCGAAATTAAAAAGGAGTCGGAGCTCTAGACACCCTGTGCAAGAGAATAACATACAACGTATTCGCGCACCCGAGGCCACGATCACCTGTAACTTACACGACGTTCACGCCACGATCCCCCCCGTAAATCACCCCACATTTGTGCCCCGAGGCCACGATCCCATGTAAATTATCGCGCTCGCGCCCCCGAGGCCACGATCCTTTATACATTACGACGCGTTCGCGCTCCCGAGGCCACGATCCCTGCTAAATCACGCTATGTTCGCGCGGCTATGATCCCTCGCAAATTACACCGCGTTCGCGCCCCCGAGGCCACGATCCTTCGTACATTGTACCGAATTCGCGTCCCCGAAGCCACGATCCCTCGTAAAATACACCGCGCTCGCGCCCCCGAGGCCCCCGAAGCCACGATCTCCCGTAAATTGCGCTACGTTCGCGCCTCTGGGGCCACGATCAGCTTTACATTGCGGCACAAATGTGCCCCCGAGGCCGCGATCTCCCGTACAGTGCGCCACGCTCGCGCACCCGAGGCCATAATCCATTCTAGATTATACAATATTCGCGTCCCCGAGGCCAGTAACTCTCGCAAATTATGCAAGATGTGCGTCCCCAAGCAACAAGCCATCGTAAATTATGGAACGTTTGCGTCACCGAGGCCATTCACCCGCGCAAGTCATTAAAAAGTCTTGCGCACCCGAAGCAACAAACCTTTGTAAGCTACCAACAAGTCTTGCGCCCCCGGGGCAACATACCTTTGTACATTACAAGCGTAGTCGCGTCCCCGCAGCCAGAATCCCTCGTGCATTATACAATCTGAATGTCCCCGAGGCCACAAACCTCCGCACATTGCTCGATATTCGCGTCCCCGAAACCAACATCCGTCGTACATTACGCAATACCCGCGTCCCCAAGGCCACACACCGATGCGAATTGGTCAATTCTTGCGTCTCCCAAGCAACACACCCTCGTACATGATTGAATCCTCGCGCCCGCGAGGCCGTAAATCTTGGCAACTTGCTCCATATTTGTATTGCCGAGGCCAAGAGTGCTCCAAGGCACCAGAAGATGGTTCCAAGACGGCCCAAGAGGGCCCTGAGAGGCTCCAAGAGCGCTCCAAGAGGCCTCCAGAGAGAGCCCCAAGATGCCAAGATCGTCGACCTTAATATAGTTTTTGCTGTATTTCTGGGTTCTTGTATGTTCTGCTTTCCGACGCTCCAAGATGGCTTAAGAAGCTCCCAAGACCGCCCAAAGACAGCCCAAGACGCCTCCAAGAGGGCCCCACGATGGCCCGAGAGGGCTCCGAAATGGCCCAAGAAGCGCTCCGAGAAGCCCCGAGAAGCCCCCAGGAGGCCCCAAGAGGCCCCAAGAGGCGCTCAAGACGCGCCAAAGAGGCTTGAAAAAGGCCCACAAGATACCCCACGAGGCCCCAAGAGGCGCCGAAACCGCCTCCAAGAGGCCCCTGAGAGGCTCCCCACGACACCCCATCACATATACAAGAGGCCTTAGACCCACAACCCAGACACGGTGGCGGGATGGGCCGACGGCCACTAGGATCCGCCGCCCCCTGTCGATTCATCGCAGGGGTGGCGTGCTAGATTATTTCGGTTTTGGTTTTGGTTCTTTTTCCAAAAGAACTCCCCCTGGGACTTCGGCCCGTCCCGCCGGGGTGCCGGGACAACTCTTCCAAGACCGCAAACGACCTCATCGTCCAGAAACATGATCGACCAACGAACCCGGAAAGGTACAGAAACGTAAAGCATGGCAACATGTCAAAGACACCTAATTGGGCGACGGGCAACTGCAATGCTGAATTTATGGATCTTGATGTACGGTGCCGAAGGCTGTGCTTTGCTGCGCCGTGCTGAATTGCGATGTGCCATGCCGCGATTGTGCTCTATAGCGTTGTGGATCGAGTCCTCCTTTGCATCCGAGTCCTGACCGAACGGATATGGATCTTAAGCTCGAGCTGCCTGATCACATAGTAGCTCCACCAGAGCGAATTGACAGGGGAACATGCCAGGAGGACGCGCCGCGGAACGTTCCAAGGGACGCGCCAAGCGACGTGCCAGGGGACGTGCCATGGGGACGCACCGCGGGACGTGCCAAGGGGACGCGTTACGGAACGTGCCAATGGACGTGCCACGGGACGTGCCAGGGGACGCGCAACGCGACGTGCCAGGGGGACTCGCCATGGGACGCGCCACTGAACGTGCCAAGGAACGTGCCAAGTTGCAATGCTGTGTGTATCGATCTTGATGTACCGTGCCGAGGGCTATGCTGTGCTGCGCCGT